CTTGTGTTTTTGAGAGAGGAAAGCAGTAAAACATCTATAATGTGGGGACTTTATACTGTAGTTACAACTGAGGAGGTCAGTTTTATTAATAGAGAACTGCATGAGGATGTGATGCCAACAGTTCTAACAATCTGTAGTAGATAACTTTACTTCTTTTTCCTTTAATACTATTTTTCCACAGAAACTAATTTAGCCCTGTTGAGTGTATGATTTATTTGAAAGCAAGTTCTTAATTACAGGCAATAGGGTTATAGTTACAAACTTTGAAATTAATGTTGAAGTTGCTTTCTAAGGAATGTAACACTCAAATCTGATATGTTTAATGATTGTACTTGCTATTACAGAAAGGATTTGTGTGTTTACTTGGACTGTTTAGTTATTGTATCAGCTAATACTTTTTAGTAACTAAAATTAATAGGTATGTTTAAAACACCTTAAATAGAAGAGTTATACCTGAGAATGGACACATGATGTCAAGTTCAGAATAGATATGGCTATAGCGTTTAAAATAAATGTATCTTGATATGTGATTACGTGATCTCCAGTTAGTGAGGTAGAGGATGATGATTAGGGATGCCCTGACAACTGCAAGTTAGGTTTATGACCTCAAAGAATGAAAAAAAGAATAAACAAAGACATATCTCTGTCAAAAGAAGGAGATTTATGCTTCTGAAATGTGCTATTAGTGGATCCTTTATAATCTATGTTTGTAAGTGGCGCTATGAAATGAGTACAAAGGGTGAGAGCTGATACTAATTCTCTGAACCACCAGTTGTCCCTTCTGGCAGTTGAAATTCACTGTCTGCGTTAATATAAAGTGTGACGTTTATGTGCAGTCAGGTACGTACCAGATTCATGTTGATTCTCTCTCCCTCTTGTTGGAATTAAGTTATTCAGTAGCATAGTGTAATTGATATGCTATTATTAAAAGTTGTCGAGAACATAAAGTTGATTGTAACATTAATGTGCTGGCATTCTCTTATTGATACCAATTTTAAGTTTGCTCCAATAAACAGCATAATAGTATGAGCGAATAAAACTAACTTCATATATTATGAAAATATAAACATAACTTGTTTTCTTGTTATTTGAGGCACAGGGGTTTTATGATTCTTTTTTTTTTTTTCCTGAAAATCCAGATTTATGGATTTGTATTTTTCTGTTAATGGAGCTGGAGGAAGATTTATTGTGATTTGGTATAAAGAACCATTAGAGCACCTGCATTAGCTGGACAGTGAGAAACTCCTTTACCTTCTCATAAGAAATGGAAAAATAGCTCCTTATGGCCACTGAATCTCCTGGAACGTTATCTTGAGAGTTTCTTTGATGTCAGCAAAGTGAATGTACTTCTTAATGGCTTTTCCCACACGTTCTGGGTGGTTGAAACGTTGTGGGTTTTTCTGTTATTGTTTTGTTTTTTGTTTTTGTTTTTTTTTCTGACTCTAGCTTCCTAGTGTTGATCTTAGTTGGTGCTGGAATTCTTGAGCTTTTCGTTTCGATTCATAATTGTATGTAATTTCATATTCAACTTTTATGAAATTCCTTTTTGCATAGAGAGGATGATGTTTTAGGTCAGCATGCAATTTTAGCATCTTAAAAGTTCCTATAATTAATGTTCTATTTATAATAAGTGCACTATCTACCTCCACCTAACCGGAGAAAGTGACAAGTTCACTATTTTTGAGCAAGCCATAAATGGAAGAATTTCTTGGAGGAATAAAATTTGTATCAGAGGTTTTGCAGTGTCCGTGCATATGCATACACGCACAAGTTTTTTTTTAAAAATAGTGTAATCAAAGTTTGATGCATTCTAAATGCAAGATGTTTATTTTTGTGTAAGAGACTTGTTTAGTGCGACAGTTCAGTTATTCCAGACCTATAATACAGAGGAAAACTCATGCTCTTCATCAGTAAATGCACATTTTTGAAAGAATGCGTTCACCAAAAGTAAATTGTATTTAACTGAGAGGAAGGAAGGTGGGAAAATCTAGAGGTGTCAGAGATAGTGGCAATACATTTTGAGCATGGTAAGGGTGAGCTATAGTAGCTTCCTTTTGATAACTCTGCCATTATTAGAATAACTTTAGGAGGCACTCTATGCAAAGCTTACTAATTATGAGCATTTTATACTTTGGAATAAAGAGTGTAATCTGCTATTTGGTTCCTACTGGCCTGTAATACGCCAGGCTTCAAATGAGTAACAGCCCATGACTGAGTTTTGAACTTCTTAGGTATTGAGACAATTATGTTTTAGAGAAAAAGATTTTCTTAAAACTGGTTTTTGCATCATTTTGGAAGAGGTGATTTTGAGGATGTTTAGAACATGAGTGTGTAGGCTAACCAAAGATAGGTAATACACACACATATATATACATACATGCAGTGCTCATACGGTGACATTCCATTTTGTTTCATAGCTGATTATTTCTTAGAGTAGGAACAATCTTCCTAAGACTCTGTATCATATTTTTCTGCTGAACACAATAGTAGAAGATGTATCTCTTCAAGAAGCTCTCATTCTCTACTATTATTGGCTTATAAAAAGGATGGCACTAATTGGAAGACCAATCTACAAGGGGGGAAAAAATAATTCAGAATCTAGGTGGCTTCATTTGAAGAAAAGAACTTGTCATTAATGTGATTGATAAAGGACTTAAAGGAAGTGTCCTGAGATCACCACATTGGGGAAGTGAGAATTTTGAGATGGATGTTTTAAAATCATCAGAGGTTTTGTATAAAACTATATTTGAAGCATTTATATGTTCTTTTGAATGCAGTGTTCATGACAAGGTTCATCTACTCTAACTCCCCCCGCCCTTTTCCCCTTGTGAACAGCTGTAGTGAGCTGGAAATGAACCAAATAATATCAAAAGGCAAAATATGCTTATGTCCTGAAGCTGAGGAAAGTTTAAATGAGATTACCTTGCAAGGTAAACTGCCTTGTTAGACAAAAAGTGCTTCCCACCGCCCCCCCCCCCAAAAAAAAAAAAAACAAACAAAAAACCCAACCCAATCACACTAACCTTAAATGCACAGCAACAAGAGATTTAGGAGCCCAACTGAAAATGTCACTGGTTAAATTCTACTGGTATTTTGAATTGGAGCTTAAATCGGACTAATGCACTGTTTGAAGTATGAAGAAATGTCATTTCCTGCAGAAGAATTACCAGTACACTATATCTGTGCGTGTTCTGAATATAAAGTCCTATGCATACTTGCAGAGATGCTGAGAGGTAGATTTGGGCAACACAGCCACTTTTCAAGCTTTTTATTTGCTTTCCTAATACAAACACTCGTTGGGAGAATGAAAGAATGTAATATTCAGAATATTCGTAGATATTTTGTGAACAAGATTATGCTGTGGATGAATATACTGGGATAGTATGGTAAGAGAGGAATTCATTTAGGTATTTACAGATGACAGAAGATATTCTAAACAATAGCATTTTATTGTCTAAAGGTTTAAACAAACTTACAGGGGATCTAGTGCTGCTGTCATATCTGTACTGTCATGGCTACTGTACAGAGTACAAAGAGTACCAAATTTATGTTGGGAATCTAAGGGCTTGGGCCAAGAGACAGAGAAGGCAGTCTGCTGGTTTGGCATCTGCCCAGTGAATTGACTCTTGGTACTGGAGAACCTCTTGTAGGTTAACCGTCTCCTGATGGCCACATCCTTTTGTCAGGTCCATCTTTTCCTTTGCATGTGTTAAACGACACAGTTGTTGCCTCTCTTTTTTGACTGTCCAAGTAGATAGTATGCTTTGTGAAACATGGGGATTCTTCAGTATTATGTGTAGTGATGTAAGTATGCAGGGTGTGCACAACAAAACAGAAGGCCGACTTAGTATTTTTGATGAAATTGCTACCAGAAAGAAGAAATTATTTCTCCTCTGAGTGAGGGGTGTGAGAGCAATGGGCATGACGAGTACCTTCGTTTTAAGTCTTAAGTTTGGTAGAAACGAGTCTTTGGCTATCTTACTTAAGGAAAACTAATAGACCGTGAGCTTCCTGCAGTTCGTGCCCTGTTACTTATTGACTATGCAAGATCTGAATTACCAAACTGTAGTTTGTTTTTTGCCTGATAATTAAAAGCTTGTTGTATGCTATTCCATATCTTTTTCCCACATTCTTCCTCCCTTTTGCTGTGAAGCATTTTTGTATGCTTATTCACACCCTGAGAGAGAATTCTTATTTAAACACAAAGGTCAAAGAAGCTGGTTGAGTGGTACTCATTACCATCCAGGATCTCTTCCTGCTCTTTTCCCTTGGTGAATTATCCATCTGTGTTTAACCTCCTCATTTTAAGAGGTTTTGCTCGTGTTTGACAATGTTTTGAAGAGTGAGGAAAATACAGAATGAGGAAGCTATTTTCAGTGAAATGTCATGGAAAAGTGGCCTGCTGCTTAGCATATCTCTCCCTGTATGGATTTGGAAGCTTATCTTCTATCCTTGGCAAGAACTGAATTTTTTCTTGCGTTTGCTGGTCTAAACCATTGCAAAACAGTGATATGGATCTTCTTTTGGCTCAGTCATCGATAAAAATGCTTCAGGCACTATTGGAGTGCCTGGATCAGAGTACCTCCTGACCAGAATGCCTGTAAAATAAGACTTAACAGTTGGCGGTTTCTGAATTGGAAAGAGCTGGCTTGGCTTTCAGATGGCAAACTGATTATGCATATCTGATAGTTTAGAAACTCAAAGAAATAAAAACCCAAACTTTCTTCCATCTCAGGTTTGCTTAAAACTGTGACCCCTCGGGGATGGAGGCAGGGAAGAAACTGATAGCAGCGAGTTTTGTTTGAGTTTTATTACTTTTTCTCTTATGCTGCATTTCAAATCAGATAATGCTTCAGTTCTTAAAATAAGTTAACCAGATCAGTTTTGTTTTCATGGCACGCTTATAACACTCAAAATTTTGTAGTTACTGAAAAAGTTCAGTTTATGGGATTAGCTAAGACCATGTATTAATTTAGAGTTTGGTTTTCTTTCTATTGCAGTTCCCAGAGTGTGGTTTTTTTGGCATGTATGACAAAATTCTCCTCTTCCGTCATGACCTGAACTCAGATAATATTTTGCAACGGATCACATCAGCAGAAGAGATACACGAAGGTGATCTTGTTGAGGTTGTTCTCTCTGGTAGGTATTGTTGTAACAATGCTTTATTCGGTAGCTTTAAAAAAAAAAAAAAAAAAAAGTAGGACTTTGTATGGAACAGTTACCAGGCTTTGAGCTCACTGACTGAACAGTCTTATATCTGTTCACTGTTTTTTGGGAGGGGGAAATTTGCAAGAAAATCCAAATGGCACGATGCTTCAGTGATGAATTTTGTATTGTTTCATTATCATATTTTAACTTTTAAGTTTATTAATTATTGAAGCTGAGGTAGAGATAGGATTTAGATTTTGCTCTTCCAGCCCTACCCCCTTTTTTTCCTTAAGTCTTGTCTTTTTTGTTCTGCAACTTCTGCTGTTTGATTTATACTGCTTAAAAATCTTCATATAAATGTGGTTGCTGAATCATGGCTAGAGGGACAATCTTAAAAGTTATTGTAGTATTTGAAGGCAATTTCTTTCAAATGATCAAGTCCTTAGCAGTGGTGGTTATTATACAATGTGTAGTAGGAAAAAACCTACCCTAACTTGATTATAATCTCGGATTCTATAGGTGTCACCAATACCCTGTTGAAGTTGACCAAAAGCCAGCAATGGATAACTAGTCAGTGAAATTAGAAATAAAAGCTGGACTAGTGCTGAGCAGTTCTTTGGAATCTAATTGTCAAACTGAGCCTGTGTTCTAGATTGGGTGTAATGGGATTAAATTTATAATTTAGGTCAATAAAGTCTGATTTTTCAGAGTCCTAAGGCCAAGTTCTGGACTGCTTTGCATGACCTACTGTTCTAAGCATGTTTAGGGTATTCAGTAACAGATCATCTTGGTTTGAGCTTTTTGTTATTTCTGGTTAATGGCACATTTGGAAAATCTGTTTTGTGCATTTAGGTTTGAAAACAATTTCAAAAAAGGCAACTTTGTCTTTTCACTTTTTGGACTGATCATAATTTCTTTGGCATAATACTTCCTCTGGAATCCACCCAAGGGCAGGTACCTCTGGTGTCAATCTCGGACGCTTTTCATATCAACAGAGACAGACCACCAGAAACAAAGGCATTTGAAAACACATAAGTCTCTTTCTGTAGAGTTTTAAAATAAGACATAGGAATCTGAAAATGAAATGGTAGTATGTGGTTTGATAATCATGAAATAGTGGGTATCAGGGCAAGGTAACCATGGCATAAAATGCAACTTTTTTTACATTCACAAAAAAAAAGAAAGGGACAAAAATACATTTAGAACTGTCTGTGCTTGGTCAAGGAAATGGAAACTGCCCTAGCAGTGTTCTGTGTTTCCTAGAAACTTTTCCACTGTTCTGTTTTGACAGAGATGTCGAATTCAATCTAATAACCTTACTGAAAAAGTCCTTTAAAAGATAAAAATCTAACCTGTAGCGCTGTCCTTTGTTTAAAAATTGCACAGGTTACAAACAACTTGAAAATTAAACTGTTTTATCAAATGTTTGCCTATAAGTTGATCTTAAAAACCTGTTGGATTTTCTGTCCTGACTTAGTGAGGTTCTCAACAGGAAAGAAAAAAACAAAACCTTAAGGCTGGGTATTTTGTTATGAGTCATACTGTTGACTGGTTGTTGTGGCTATCAGCCTGCAGAGTCCAGTGATTTTTTTCCTCACTAAAAAAGCTTACTGAAAACTGTATAATCTTCTACGTACATATTTAAATGGTATACAATGTAATACTGATGTTTAAACAGCTCAGTAGTGTTCTTTGAAACGGCTATTTTTAAAATAACATATTATTTCCATAAATCCGTGATGATCTTTTGGCAAGAAACTTAACTTACTGCAATTTTTTAAAAGCTTTGGCTACAGTTGAAGATTTCCAGATTCGCCCTCATGCACTTTATGTGCATTCCTACAAGGCTCCTACTTTTTGTGACTACTGTGGAGAGATGCTTTGGGGTTTGGTACGACAAGGATTAAAATGTGAAGGTAAGTTTGTTTATGACTTTTAGTGTGTTTTTGAGTATGTATGATCATATCAGACGTGGAAAAAGAAATTGTATTTCAGCTGATACGTCAGCATATGATAAATGTAGCATTTGGTAGTGTGAGGACGGGCTGTGTGTCAGGAAACCTGAGTTCTTATCCTGGCTTTAACGCAGACTCTGTGTCCTTGGGCAAATGATTTAAGAAGCGCCCTTGTTTCCCACTTTTGAAAAATAGTTAGCTTATGAGTGTGTGCTCTTTGCACAAGGAACACGCATTCTGGAGAGAATCCCAAAGGGGAATCCCTTTCCTTGTGGCCTTCATCCAGCTGGACTGTGGAACATATTGCAGCCTGCTGTCAGGTACTAACACTGCCTGCTCGCTGGCTTCCTCTTGGCTCTTATGTTCCAAAGTGAGGGAGTGATGAAGGCCTCCTAGTGGGAAGAGAAGTGAGGAGAAAGATCAGCTGCTTCAATCTTAGACCTTGTTTCTAGAGCTGTGCTTACTGAAAGGCAGTGTTTAGGCAAGCAGTACAAACAAAGTTTTTGCTCTGAATCACATTAAGAACAGTAAGAGAATTTAAATAGAACAATTTGTTTCTATCTTTACCATTTTCCTGGGTTATCTTTTTAACTACTTTATCAAAATACAGATACTATATTTGTTACTTTAAATGTTGTGTGTGTGAAAATCTTCTCTTTCAGGTTGTGGATTAAACTACCATAAGAGATGTGCCTTCAAGATCCCTAATAACTGTAGTGGAGTGAGAAAGAGGCGTTTGTCTAATGTGTCTTTACCAGGAGCAGGACTTTCAGTTCCAAGACCAGTGCAAGCTGAATGTACAGCCTCTGCCTCTGAAGAGGTATGTAATGTGAAAGGAGGAATAAGTATTTCTGGGTTTAAGTCCTTTAGCCTCTGGGGCACTAGCTAGTGTTGTAAGTGGTTTAAGATGAGTATGGAGAGCTGACCTTAACCATTATGATTGTTTTTTGTTCATTCATAAGTCTGAGTTTCAGAATCTCTTGAGTTTTGGACTGTGACATTTACTGATAACTATTATTACTGTGAGAAATAAAGCTGGAAGTAAATTATAGCTTCTGTGTATAATTTTGTCATTAATCTGTCACTCGTGATAACGTGAACTTTGAGAACCTTGATTTAGGGAATGATAAAATACTTTACCTACTTTACAGTACAGATTTATTCTGTAATTACAGTATCAGTATAGAATAGCTACTTGGGTGAAACAGTACCAGTTGTATGCTTTTATGCTCTGAGAGAGGAGAGAAGTTCCTGATATGTTCCTGATATGTTGTTAAGCTTTTCACAAATCTTTAAAAAAACAAAAACAAACAAAAACACACAAAAACACAAACACACATCCCATTGAAGAGGGTGTAGGTGATGAAGGGCTTACTGTAGAACTGTCATCTGTGGTAGTTTTTTTGTTACAATGGTGGTTATGATTGCTGAGAGGTTGTTGGGTATATTGCAACTATATTGAGCATAAGAAAGGACAGATTTTTGTTTTTTAGATCAGTTTGTTTCATGGCCACTTTTACCATGGGATAAAAGCAGTGTTATTGACAGTCTTTCCTACTTATCTAAATTTCTATTATTTTATAGTCCAATAAATTTTTATATTCCTACTCACCTTTGTTTAAATCATAAATTATGTAGATCGTAGTTGAAGAACATCATATTTTTTAGCCAGAGACTAAGAAGCCTAGTGTTGAGTCATGAAAGTTAGTCTGACGCTTTGTAGCTATTGCTAAGATTTCTTCAGTACAGGTAGAACAGTATTTCTCCTCCCATAGGATTTCCTATTTTTGATTTCTGTGTGCCTATTTAATATCTGTTTGATATTGTTAGCTGTCTTGTTTCCAAAACTTGGCATAGACTGTCAATAATATCTTACCAGATTTGCAGTTCCTCTTTCAGCAGTCTTGCAATGCTTTAGATCAGATGTGCAATTCTTTACAGTTTCCTGTAATTTAAGAGACAGTTTTGGTCTTGATTTCAAAATTTTGTTTTAAATTCAGTTAAAACAATTTTTTTTAATTTCCCAAATTTGTTTTTAGTTTTCCAACTTTTTTGCCTAGATTGGTAAATTATGCAAAGCACTCTGTTTATTAAAAATTGGCAGCATGATACAATGATTGTTTTTCGCTTTGCCTACCTCCAGTGTTTTCCATTTTACCCCCTATGCACGGGTCTGTGTGTGCTGTCTGTGGGACTCACCAGACTGCTAAAGAAGCCATAAGAGTGAACTTTGGCCTTGTTTTTTGGCCTTTTTTAGTTCCTGTGGAAATAATCATACATACTTTCCTGTGCTAAGGCTTTTTACACCTTTTTGTTGTTATTTTTGGAGGCCTTTTTTTTTTTAAATATTACATTGTAACATTATTACACCATTAATGTTGCCAAAATGCTCTCTTAAAGCTTCTTGGCCAGATTCCTTTCATATCCAGTCATTTTTCTGAGCCAATTTCCCCTAATCCCCCCAGCTTTTTTTTCTACATTGGACTGTTTTGGTGCAAGTCCTTTATGCCTTCTTTATTCCAGCGCTGCTGTCCAGAACCTAGTAAACGGATTCCTTCCTGGAGTGGCCGTCCCATCTGGATGGAAAAGATGGTGCTTTGCAGAGTAAAGGTTCCACACACCTTTGCTGTTCACTCTTACACTCGTCCCACCATATGCCAATATTGCAAACGGCTGCTTAAGGGCCTTTTCCGCCAAGGAATGCAATGTAAAGGTAAACGTTGAATTTTCTGCCACAACAATGGATTTCTGTAAAGGTTTGATATTTAAAACTGATTTAAACTTACATTTTTTTTTTTTCCCCAAAGACTAGTACACTGCAAAATAGAGCAGTGTAATTTTCAGAAGAATTGCATATTTTTAAGATAATTACAGTGCTCCTCCTTTTCATTTCAGTAGACTTTGCATTGTGTGTTTTTGTTTATGAAAAATGAGACCTAATCACATGTAGATCTGAAACACCATAATTGCAGAAGGAATTACACTGTTATTAATATGGCAAAGTCTTCCTTCTGCTAAACAGTAATTAGGTCTTGTAGACTGCATTGCCAATGAACTTATAAGCATTTGTTATATTTTGCTAATATAGAAATACTGATTATGTTATCTTTTAGAAGAATTTAAAGATCGATGCCTTTTCTGAACCAGCTTAGATGCCATCAGATGCGTGTTTTATACCTAGCATATGTTAAGATGCATGACTTAGTTCTTGGAGCTGTTCAGTACAGTCCTCAGGACATAATTACAACATTGTTATCTTCTTTTGGCTCTCTGTTACTGGACAGTACAGATCTATCTGTTACAGAAAGTATTCTTAATATTAATAATCTAAATATTAATATGGAAAGGACTTTCCATTTCTCTCCTGTGTGGAGAAGTCAGATGTGAGCGAAACTACAAAGGACAGTGTATTGAAGAAAAAGGTTGCCTAATACTTTTACAGTTTCCTTGATAGAAGAGAGCAAATCCCGTAAGCTCATAGTCGCATTAACTTTCTATCAACTAAGAAGTATTTATCTTTTGTATAAGAAAGGGGTGAATAATAGTTTTGCCTTTTATTTCTATTTATATTAGTTTGCAATTTGGGTAGTCTGCTTGAAGTCTTCATCCTAAACTGGTTTTGATTTTTTTCAGTCAGTTTATCTCTTGGATACATGTAATACCTAATCAAATAATGAAGCCTAAAATAGATACTTGGCAATTTTAACTTCTAAATGCTACTGACTGTTTACAATTGTTTGGATTGTATATTCAGCTGATAAATGGGATTTCCCCACTTCAGTTTCAGGGAGGTGAATGACATTGCATAAAAATGGTGTGCGTGTATAGAAAAGGAGCCTAGAGAAGCATTAATAATACACACAGAAGAACAGAAATAAGTATATTAATAAGCATTTGTTTATACAGTTTGATCCCATACATCTTTTAATATACCAGGAGCTGATAACAAACAATCAAAATGTGTTGGAGAAAGCAGTATGAGAACGTTCTTCATGCTTCCCACCAACTTTCTTGTACATATTCCCAAACCTTGGGGTCTCTCAGCTGTCTCATGTTCCTGACACCTGTAAGAACCTTGGACTTCTTGAATTCACCGAAGCTTCTACTTGGACTCTGAGTTGATCTTTTGGGATGCTAAGGCTATATTTATGTTCATAAGTTTAAATGTGCCCAGGAACATTCCTGGACACTGAGGTCAACTGAGACAAAATAGCCTGTGCTCATGCACAGACTTTCTTAGCCTCCCAACCTGAGTAGCTGTAGGCAAACTGCCTATGGGGTACTGTTCCATGGGATGCTCTAATTCATGAACCAGGCCTGGGTACTGTTTTGGATTGTGCTAGTGCTGTGGGCCAGAACCATGCCAGGGGTTGTTCTGACAGTTTACTAGAATAACGTTGCACTATGGTGCCCAGGAATGTTTCTGTATACAGTTTAATTTATTAGTGTTGACTCACTCTAAATCTTACCGGCTCCCTGATAGGATACGAAACATCTGTTTCTTCCACACCCCTTCAAAGCAGTGAAGTAATCATATTCCATAATTTGGATGGAAAACAGTACTGTAGAAAAGAAAAGTTTATCAGTCTTCTAGGATGCTTACTCTTAGGCACTAAGAAGCTAAACAGGATTGTAGTTTTCTCCAGGACTTGGCTACTGTGCTGCTGAAAAGGGGGAAGATAGTGACTTCTCTTTTATTTGGGCTTAAAAGCACGGTGAACTTTCTTTGAATAGTAACAAGCAGAAAGGGGCAAAATTACCACTTCAAAAACAGTTGTGGGGACAGTGGAGAGTTTTGAATTCGTGGTGTTCATACAGAGTTGAAAAATACAGTGGTGCTGCTATTAAAGGAAATTCTTGTAACGCTAGCATTGTGTTCTCAATAGGCTGCATCTGATAGCTTGAATGCAGAAACGGTGTGCATCCAAGTTAAATCCATCTCCATGTCAGTCCAGATCTGGTCGTGTGTTATTCTGTCTGCTTTGGGTCGAAGGAAATTTAGTGAAAAGTCAGAAGAATCATGAGGCCCCGCTTTCACAGTCTATTGCTAGGCCACTCTGCATCATCTTTGAAAGGTCATGGAGAGCAGGAGAGGTGCCTGAGGACTGGAAGAAAGCCAGTGTCACTCCAGTCTTCAAAAAGGGCAAGGAGGAGGAGCCAGGGAACTCCAGGCCAGTCAGCCTCACCTCCATCCCAGGAAAGGTGATGGAACAGCTCATCCTGGAGGCCATCACTAAGCATGTGGAGGACAAGAAGGTGATCAGGAGTAGTCAGCATGGATTCACCCAAGGGAAATCATGCTTGACCAATCTGATAGCCTTCTCTGATGGAATGACTGGCTGGGTAGATGAGGGCAGAGCAGTGGCTGTTGTCTGCCTGGACTTCAGCAAGGCTTTGGACACTGTCTCCCATCCCATCCTCATGGGCAAGGTCAGGAAGTGTGGGTTGGATGAGTGGACAGTGAGGTGGACCGAGAACTGGCTGGATGGCCGAGCTCAGAGGGTTGTGGTCAGTGGTGCAGGCTCTAGTTGGAGGCCTGTAGCTAGGGGTGTTCCCCAGGGGTCAGTCCTGTGTCTAGTCTTGTTCAACGTATTCTTCGATGACCTGGAGGAAGGGACAGAGTGCACTCTCAGCAAGTTTGCTGAGGATACTAAACTGGGGGGGGAGGAGAGGCTAACACACCAGAAGGCTGTGCTGCCCTTCAGAGGGAGCTGGAGAGGCTGGAGAGCTGGGTGGAGAGGAACCTCCTGAAGTTCAACAGAGGGTCCTGCCCCTAGGGAGGAAGAACCCCAGGCCCGACTACAGGCTGGGGGTTGACCTGCTGGAAAGCAGCTCTGCCGAGAAGGACCTGGGAGTGCTGGTGGACAACAAGTTGACCATGAGGCAGCACTGTGGCCTTGTGGCCAAGATGACCAATGGTCTCCTGGGGTGCATGAGGCAGAGTGCTGCCAGCAGGTGGAGGGAGGTGATGCTGCCCCTCTGCTCAGCCCTGGTGAGGCCTCACCTGGAGTACTGTGTCCAGTTCTGGGCTCCCCAGTGCAAGAGAGACATGGCACTCCTGGAGAGAGTCCAGCGGAGGGCTACAAAGATAAGGGGACTGGAGCATGTCTCCTAGGAGGAAAGTCTGAGAGAGCTGGAACTCTTCAGCCTGGAGAAGAGAAGACTGAGGGGGAATCTCATCAACGTGTATAAGGCTCTTCTCCGTGGTGCCCAGCAACAGGACCAGAGGCAACGGGCACAAGCTGAACCACAGGCAGTTCCATCTGAACCTGAGGAAAAACTTCTTTCCTGTGAGGGTGACAGAGCCCTGGCACAGGTTGCCCAGAGAGGTGGTGGAGTCTCCTTCCCTGGAGATAGTCAAAACCCGCCTGGACGTGATCCTGGGCCATGTGCTCTAGAGGACCCTGCTTGAGCAGGGGGGTTGGTCTAGATGATCTCCAGAGGTCCCTTCCAACCTCAACCATTCTGTGATTCTGTGTGATTTTGTGAAAAAATAATTATAGGCAGAGCTAGAGAAATAACAAACCTTTTGTACTAGAAAGGGACGTGCTGATATAATAAATAGTGGTGGGGCAAATTGGCATGTGACATCAAGACAAGATTGTGGATTTTCTTCTGGAGGTAACCTCACCAATGCTACCTTCAGTTACACACCAATTTATAAATCTGGACAGGAGCATGTGATGGAAGTACTGAATGATAGGTGTTAACGTCTGTGTTAGTAGGAGTCAAATTATGTTGTCATGTGCTTATTTATTTTAGATTGCAGATTCAATTGTCACAAACGTTGCGCATCTAAAGTGCCTAAAGACTGTCTTGGGGAGGTGGTTTTCAACGGAGGTAAGATGAGAAACATGCTTTTAAATACTGATGAATCTTTGGAAGCTTGACAAGATTCATCGACTTTTGATTCCTTCATCTTTGAATATTTTGAGACTTTTATTTTACTTTCCCCTCTTTTCCCCGAGATCGTTGAGACTGACTATAAAACTTGTATACTCTGACTTGAAATGTATTTAATCAGTCTTGGCAAGTACTACAGTATGCTTCACTTGAGATTGCTCATGGGAAATCAGAAATTGAGAAGACTTTAATGTACAAAAATGGATGTGCGTTGTGCTTAGCCTTCTCATTATTCACCATGATATATATATTTTTAAATCTTAATATCTGAAGACAAGCACTGTGGCATTCTCATATCCATGATTTTTAGTGGCCAGAGACAGCACAGCTGTCTGTAAAGAGTGGGTGTTTTGTTTTTATTTCTTTAACTTTTTGAAACCTTAATTAGGTAGGACTGTCTTCTGAATAGACATGATGGGTCTATTCTGCCCCCCCCCCCAAAAAAAAAAAAAAAAGCTGCAAGTGAAAACTATTTGTATCTTTTGAGTCTTAGTTTTCTATGGTGCAAATTGTACAGCTTCTGGCAACTTTAAACTTGTACCAGCAGAGTATTAGATGCAAATGAGATCTGCTCTGTTCTTTTCTTCTCCTGCAGTACCCCCCCCCCTTTTCTTTCCCCTTCTGTTTTTATTATTATTCTGGGCTACAAGGACAGTGAGAGCAGAGTTAGGTTCCTGTACATGGAAGGTTCTGCTTGCACAGGAATAATTTTCCTCTGGGTCTGACTTGTACTGCTCACCTGTGGAATAGAATTACTTTGTGAGATGTGGACTTAAGCATACCTTAAGAATTTCACTACATTTTTTTTCAATATGATTCTTATTTTGGTTGGATCTCCCTTGCCTTGGCATTTAGCAAAACCAAATGGATAAAGTTCATTAGTGCTCTCTGCACTGTTGATCAAAAAGTTGACGATTTTGTGTATTATTGTACTTTACTGGCATAAGTATGAATTGTAGAAGTTTGCGTGATTTTGTGTGTGTGTACTTGAAATAATGTCCAGCTCTGTGTTTCTAGAACCTGCTAGTCCAGGCCAGGATTTGGACATGCCAATGGAAGTTGATAGCAGTGAAATGAACAGTGATGGTAGTCGGGGTCTGGATGATGTTGAAGAGCCCTCTCCTCCAGAGGACAAAATCTTCTTTATGGACCCATCTGATCTTGATGCAGACAAAGATGAAGAAGCTGTCAAAACTATCAGGTAAGTCACAGTGTGGATTTCTGTGCTCTAGACATGCTTTTCTCAATCTTAAGAAATCAAACTTTGAGTAAAACATTTCTGGATAGAAGAATCTTTCTGCTTAAAGTGTTTTTTTGTTTTGTTTGATTTTTAACTTAAACGCTTTGTAAGTTTATCCTGTCCCAAACAAATTTGAAATATAAATAAAATGATATAGTATCTTCTCATTAGAAAAATTGCTGTGCTATGACTGTTGTCAAAGAAACAAAACTTGATTATCAAAACATGGCTTAATCAAAATGAATGGCTTAACTTAATACCGTGACTAAGATCTTTCTAATTTAGGCCTAATTTACTTCCTATTATACACATGGTGATTTAAAAGGAATTACTTGAGATTTAAATGCTTTGATATTCACATGGTAGCTTATATACTGCTTGGGCAGTAGTTTGACTTGAATGTGCTTTTCTTAAGTTTTTATCAGATAACTGTTGCATAGTTTCTTTAATCAATTTTGGTCTCTCTGCTTTCTGTATTATTATGAATAGTATCATCCTGGTTCTCTTAAGTTATTCTTAAAAACACAAGAACAGCTGTACTAGGTCAAACCAAAGTCATTTTAGCCCAGTGAGTAATAGCAAATGTGTAAGGAGGAGTGTAAGAGCAGGAAGAGTATATAGCAATAATTTCCCAGCTTTCATTTATTTTGTAGCTCAAGGACTTCCTGAGTTGGAAGTATTATCCTCTTTTTGTGTTCAGTCTCTAGATAGTACTTTTCCATTATTTCTAATTGTATTTGAACCCATTACAGTTCTTCATATGCACAACATCCTGTGGCAGCAAATTCTATCATAGAACTGCATTTTGTGTAAGGCATCTTTACATTTTTTTTTTTTTGGTTCTGCTTTGTGATTTCGTGTAGTTACAAACCTGTCTGCTAGTACCACATGTAGGAGTTCTAGTGGTAAGCAGCCAATTTGAATCTATCAGAATGTCACAGACTGTCAAAGCCTTGTCTGCATGACAATTTTATCAATATTCAGTGATATTAACTATCTAGTGCAGGTGTGACTTGAATTAACACATAAATGCTGTTCTAGGTGTTCATGAATTGAAACGCACTTAGGGACTTTATTAGTATAACAACAGTATTATGAAATAGCATAATTAACTAACATAGACAAGAGGAAGTAATACCAATACAGGTGTTAATCATATTTTTGTTGAATTAAGACCCACGCATGCAGTTAGTTAGTTTGAGAGAGGATGACTTATGTTGGTGTCCTCTTTGCAGTGTTTTTTTCTCATGTTCCTGTAGTGTAAGTACTGCAGTGCTTGCATTAGGAGAGGTGGTGGGAGCCTAGCTATTATGTAGCTCTTATAGAATCTCATTGCAAGCGCTGATGACCCATTCATATAGGAGTTGGCCTTGTTTGTCAAAGAAGTGATTTATATGGGAAGAAAGATCCCTGTTCCTGAAAATCACAGGCTAAATGAATAGTGCCAGTATATATACAGTGCTATTGTATCTTAACTTGCTAAATATTAACGGCTTTATCCCTTTTTTTTTTTTTTTTTTTTGAAGTCCTTCAACAAGCAATAATATTCCACTCATGAGGGTTGTGCAGTCCATTAAGCATACAAAGAGGAAGAGCAGTACGATGGTGAAGGAAGGATGGATGGTCCACTATACTAGCAGAGACAATCTGGTCAGTGAGTTTGGTTTCTTTATATATTACCTTAAATTATAAATCTGAACAGGTATTTTTCACTTCTCTAGTCTGATTTATAATATCATTTGAAAGTACTTAGACATGGTGTTCTCTTATAAAGAACAAATAAGATCTGGTGCAAAGCAGAAATGGTAGCTTCTTCAAAGTTCTTCATGTGGTAACTCAACAGTGCTTTTGGTTTTCCCCTTTTTTTGGAAGGAGAAGCATCTCTAAATTGTCTGAAATGAATTGCACGTTTAAGATTTCAACTCTACCAAGATAAACATTGAAATGATTTGTTTGCTTATGCTTCTTCCTGTTTAGGAGTTGAACTCTATATTTGTATCAATGTTTTTATTCGGCTACTTGAAAAGGTAGAAATTACTATGAGCAGTGAAATGGTTAACAATGCTAATCCTGATGATCAAGGTGTTAAATATTAATGTGTAGAAATGAAAGCCCTTCGTACCTAGCAATTCATTGTATCTAGAACTAAACATTATTTGGGGGGGGAGGGGAGACCCAAACCCACTATTCCTCTTCATGTCTTTGGAATGAAGGCTTGACTGTGTGTGCTTGGGTATGCAAGCATTCTCCAAAAAGGCTCCGTTGTCTGTTTCTAGAGATAACAATATTGAATCCTTAATTAACTGAACCTTCTTAGACAAGCCCCTTGGTATTGTATATTGAGGAGGAAGAATAACCGAGTTCCTTGAAGTTATGTGATGTGAGAGAGTGAATCTTCTTGTACTTACAGTGGATGAATGAAATGGATGAAGTTAAGAAGTTCCCAGGGTTTGTGAAGCACATTATGTCACACCGAGAGACTGTTTATGAAAGGCAGCGTATATACTTGTGCATCCTTTGTCTCGGCGCAGGAGTTTAACTGAAGGGGGCTTCAAGAATTTAGAAAAGCGAAGTTATTTGGGCTACGTGGAAATCAAGTTGAGGGTTGATACTGGTTAGTTCCAGTTACTGTAGTATTTTTGTTTTTCTTTTGTCATCAGCGGAACAGACCACCGCAAGTGATCTGTCAAAAAATGCCTTCTAAGCATTCTTTGCAGTTTTCAAATAACTGCATTTATCACAAACCAAAATAAGTATCTGCATTTAATGTTTCAGATGAGATTCCAGCCTAGACTCCTTAAAAGACACTTTTTATTATCTTTTGAATATGGGAAAAATCTGGCCAGGTGGTAGGCGGAAGATGAACGGTTCTAGCAGTGTTCGGGGCAGACTTGGTGTTTGGCTCTGACATAATCTTTCAATGCAGCTGTTACGTTTTTCCTTGGACTCTTTTGCACATTCTCACAAACAGTGATCAGATTGCATGCCTCAGGGTAGCTTGATTTTTTTCTTCCATCAGCCTCGCTGCTTTGTGCATGACATCTACCAGAAAGGCTGCCCAAATGAAGTATTCCGTTCCAAAGCAAGAAATCTTCAGCCAGGCAAGCTCCCAAACCTAATGGGAGGAAGCTTCTGTATTGAGTGTTACGATATTGGCTATTTCCCCTGACCGTTCTGCTATCAACAATATCGGGCTCTTTCCTGTTCCTGAAACAACTTGGGCTTTCCATCAGTTCCACAGAGATTCATTTTTAACAGCAAAATCTGTACACATCCTGCTGACCCTGGATAGCAGGGTATTTCACTATTTTTTATAAAATTTTTTTCCTTATCTGTATTCTTGTTTTTCCACCCTCCAAGACCTACCTACCTTCTAACAGTGAATAAGCAATTTGAATCCCTGAGTGCTTACCAACCTGTTTGTTAACCATCCCCTCTAGAACAGTCTTCCCTGATTTATGATTTAATAACAGCTTATATGTCCAAAGGACAGGTTCACCTATATGCTTTGACCCAGTTTCACCTTAGCCCTGGCTTAGAATTCCATTTAATTAAATGTATTCATGTGCTAGCTTTCTTTGTCTAAATAGTGCAGGTAGTCTTTGCAGTCTCATGACTGAAATGATTTAAGCTCTGTATTTAGTATAATAAGGGCATTTCTAAACTTTGTCTTCCTAGGCCAGAGATAAGGGTCTTTGTGGATTTTTTTTTTTTTTATTGTTTTTTCCCCTCATGGAAAAATTAGAATCTGAGTGTCAAACTATATGAGCACACGGCAAGCAAAGTAAGCTTAGATCTGTACAGCCATATTAACTTTCTAAAAACCTTTCTGTTTTTAGGAATGTTTCTGTGCTTGAATTATAAGATAGTTTTGTGCAACGACTTATGGATGTAATTTTTTGGTTGAGAAGATATTACTCGTTGGTGGAGGCTTCCATAAAATGCCCATTTGCTGTATGTTGCATTTTGTTTTGTTCCCCTCTCTGCCAAAATGTTTGGTCCATTTGAATCTTATAACCCATCTTTCTTTCCTGTCACTATGAACTTTGGACCTTCTAGAATTCTGTGTTGACAAAAGAATTAAGGATTTGTTAGGCTTGCTTAGTCCTTATACCCTTGTGACACTGATTTGAGGGCACAGAGGAAGCAAGCGTGGCTGTCTCTAAGTGAAAATAATTTGGTTTTTGTGAGCCCATGCACCTGGAGTGAAACCTGTGTAGACCGTTTCCTCTAGGAGTTAACAACTGTTGTCACCATAATTACTGTAAGGTAAGTGATTTTTTTGGTTTATGGAAATAATCTTATGAAACTGCTCTTGAGGTTTAAAAAAAACAACAAAGCAACAAAACAAAAAAACCCCAAATCCCACTATATTTCATCTTAGACTAGATACATAAAAAAAAACCTGGAGGATTATAAACTCACATTATTTGAGATATTCTTAGTAGTTTAAAGCATTTCTCATTTAAATAACCTGAAAAGAAAGTCCTACTAGTGATTTATTCCTTATGTTATTTTATTATGCATTTTGTAGAGAAAAAGACATTACTGGAGACTGGACAGCAAATGCCTCACGCTGTTTCAAAATGAATCTGGAACAAAATATTACAAGGTAATTAGTAATGAGTAATAGTTACGTTGCACTTGATTTGCTCAAAATGTGCCTGTAAGTAGTATGATAAGTATTATTTATATTCCCTTTCTGTAATCCAAACTGAAATAGGTTAATTATTGTCCAAAGCTTATAAATAAGAAGGAACAAGACTAAATCTCAGAAGTTGCGTGCGGCTCCCCTCTTAATCAACCTAAATGTATCTCTCCTTGTATTTTATATATACTGTTCTCCTGAATTGCTTAGCATATTAAGCTTTCTTCACGATTACTAAATAGCTTGCTTGGCAGCCAGCCTAGTTAAAAGTTAGGATTTGTTGTCTTCTGTAAAATGTACTAAAAGCTTGCATGCTTATGTATTTTATTTTGAAGTTCCCAAAATAAAATTATTTTCAGCTGTACAACTGACAATTTTAAGCAAAATCTAGAGAAAACTTACTGTGCAGCCTGGCATTATATAAGTGAAGTTTAGTAATAAATTTGCCATGTTGTTAATATAATGATGTGTTTAGTGGTACAATATTCAGGAAATGTCTTCAAATGTATAAACAGCACTTTTCCTCTTCTTGTCTTGCACCTTCAGGTGGGGGTCCAAATCTTGCAGCTTCTTCCTCTATAACACCTCTAAGATCAAGCCTTTTCTCTGTACACCCAGCTAAACTCTTGTCCAGATCCTTTTCATCCCTATCTTGACCAATGCAGTCTTTTCTTCTCAGACTTCCCTGATATTTGTATTGCCCCGTGCATTCAAAACACAGCTGGTAAAATACCTTCCTTGCTTGTTGCTCCATCCTGTCACTACTTTTAGTCCTCCAACTTGTCCACTCCTTTTTGTTTGTTTGTTTGTTTGTTTTAACTGGTTAAATCTCAGGTTATTTGCCTTTGCTATTAGAATCGTTCAGTGGTTATATCTACATTTATTTGCTCTCTTTCTTAATAAGCTACTGTCTCTTATTCCGCCCTAATGCCAGCCTGGTGTTCACCTGCTTGTTCACTCCTCTTGAAAGTGATGTGCACTTGTACATGTCCACTCGTGTGTGGAATGTCCTTCTCCAGCTAGTGTAAACTTACAACCATTTCTTCCTTCAGATCTGTTCTCTAATGCCACTTATACCATGATCTTGCAGTGACAAGGTAGAGGGGTCAATAGGAATTGTAAATATCTCTATGAAGAGAATCTTTCCTGAAAATGACTTAAACCTGTGAAGCAGTGCTTGTTGACTAGCTTACCTAATCATTCTCTTCATAATGTTTTTGTTTCTCCTTCCCCTCCACCACCCCCCCCCCTGCCCCCACACCCTGGTCATCTTTAGTTAAGCTGTATGAACTATCAGGTCATTCCATACTTGTGCATCGTTTTTATGTGGTGGGCGTTTCACGCTGAATATAAACGCAATGTGAATAAAGAATAATGAATGTATAGAGAGAACTATGGTGGGGTTGGAAGTCTTTCTAGGAATGTATAGAGGAGTTCAGAAGGTTGAGGGGTTAGGGGTTGTGTACAGTTTGACATTAGTTATGAAGCTTGATATTTCATTTTTGGTATCTTGATATATTTGCTTTTGATTTCTTTACAAACATTTTAAGTTTTGAACATCAATATATTAAAGTATTATCTATGTTTTCATTTTTTAATCTTTAATATTTTTCTTCAGGAGATTCCACTTTCAGAAATTCTCCAGGTCACTCAGCCTCGAGATTTTTCAAACATGGTGCAGGGCAGCAACCCATACTGTTTTGAGATCATCACTGACACGATGGTGTACTTTGTTGGAGAAAACAATGGCAGCAGCCATCACAGTCCTGTTCTTGCTGCCACCGGAGTTGGACTTGACGTAGCTCAGGGCTGGGAGAAAGCCATTCGTCAGGCTTTGATGCCAGTCACTCCTCAAGCTAGCGTTTGTACTGCTGCAGGACAAGGAAAAGACCACAGTAAGCAGGCAGACAAGGCACTGTTATTCATTCTCTGAAGCTGTTAATAATACAGATTCCATTTCAGCAAAACGGTTATGTAGAATGAAGTAAATGCATCTATTCGCTGCTGAATTGGGTCCGTAATTTTCCACAAGTTTCTAGAAATTGGCCCTCGACTTTGTGGAGGGTATGTGGGGAAACCTTTTCATCTGTTGTAGCATCAAGCAGTAGTTAAGAATCAGGTTTTCAATATGAATGCATATTACAGAGCTTTATTATAGAAGTGTAAGAACACGCACACAGTGGCTTGATATAAAGAGGGACCATGGCTTTAGTATTTCTAACATACTTTAAAAAATATATGTAATCTGAAAGAACTAGATTTGTATGTTTACTGGTGTTACCTCTCTCATTATTTCACATCTGCGAGATGCCTTTGTAGCTAAGGAGAAGGAAAGGAGTTAGTGATGAAGTGTAAGTGTTGCCAGGGGTAGAAGGAACTGCTGAGCTGCAGGAACTAGGAGGAAATATGCTCTTCTTCCTTCTGTGGCCTCCCTTTCTTCCTCTAGCAAAGGATCAAATTCATTAGTTTGGTGAAGCCTCACTATGTACTGTGTTCTTTCTCCTCAGACAGCTCTTGAGTTTCTTGCAGCAACGTTCATTCATATCCTGTACTGAGGCCTATGCTTCCATTCTTTTTAGTTCTCTTTTTGTCTTCCAACTGCTCCTTCATCCTCTTTTAGCTATATACCTGCTTGCAGGAGTAATTTCTCAGTCTCTGATAGCTGGTTACTCTGGATGAATGGTAACATGAGCAACAGTTAAGAACATGTAAATGCTAATTGTAAGCACTTGCAAATACAACTAGGGTCTTAAATGATAAGAGAACAAGTGTCATCACTGGTATTTGTGTTTTAATTACAGTGGACAAAGTTCTATGTGAAATGTAACTTCGTGAGAATATACATCGCAACTGGGCTCTTACATATGTAGAACTTCGCTTTCCATGTTAGTTCCAAATATGGTTCCATATTAATTCCAAATATGTATACCAAGGCTCTTTCTGCTTTTTAACATTTAAGATGTACTGTTGCTGAGAGACTTGCAAAGATTGTTTACTTTTTCAAAAAAAAAAAAAATTGCACAGGTATAAATAATCACATTTTTATGTTAAAACTTGAAAGTGATGGGCACTACAGATACAAGGGTAGATACAGGTAAGTATTTTAGCGTGTTTAGGATTGCAGGAGTATAAGAAACTATTATAAATCATTAAATCATGTTTTCATATACTTAGACAAGTCAGCAGGTTGTTTTTTAAACTCTGAAAGGCCGACAAAATGTCTGTTCTTCCCCTCCTTCTTGCACTCTGTGAGCCATGAAATGTGTTTCCAGAGACTTGAAGAAACTTAGACTTTTTTTAACATATTCAAGGCTTTGGATTGTTTTCTTTTTAGAATAAAAAGAGCAGGAGAGGAGAAGGACATTGCTAGTGCTGGAAATAATTGCTGCAGCAGTGAATTTTGTCATGTGAAAATGTCCAAAAGGCACTAACTAGTCAGTTAATGTCACATTGCAGCCAGGAAGGAGCAAAAAAATCAGGGTACTCTTTCAGTCTGAGTTGGAGGAAAAAAGTCCTTCCTGACCCCTGTACCTGGCATTTGGAGTGGCAGAACTCTTCCTAGGGTATTTCTGATTTGAAGGGACAAAGGGGAGATTAAAGGCAGAGGGACAATTCAGTAAGTTATTATCTGATATAGATGACATATTGAATGTAAATGAATTCTGGCATTAAGTATACTGATTTCTTCAGATACATGACAAATTTTCAGTCATTATTCTTACGTATTTCAGGCACTAAGAAAAATCGGAATAAAGGAATAAATCAACCTCTGCCTAGAGTAAGACGACAGGTATTATCTGCTCTCCAGACATCTGTGGAGAAGGGCTCAATATGTCCTCTTAAGCAGTTTCAGAAACCATGATGTCTTCATTTCCTACTTAATTTATTTTAGTCTTGCTGCAGTTTGTCATATATATGTTGTCCTTAGTAATTGTTGTATTTTAAACTTTTTAAACTTGTTTTCCCATGTATTTGTCCTGTGCTCTTACTCCAGTCTTACTGGACTTGACTAGTCTTAAGGAGAGAACAATAATCGGTAGGCATATGCATAGCTATAATTCCAGTTCATATTTCAGATGTAGTGTTCAGAGAAACTTAATCTTTGAGAACTAATATTTGTCACTATCTTAAGTCTGTAAGTTCCTTCTTTGACTTAAAGCCCAGGTGGCAAAAAACAGATGCAGACATTTTCTTCATTCTCTGACGCTGTTTCTAGAGCACAAAACTGGTCCTAGGGTGATAAAGGCTCTTTTCAGAGTCCTAATAAACCTGTACTATATTCTATATTTATATTATATATGACTTTGTTCTCTATTTTCTCAGAGTTAGCATAGCAAATATTAGGTGTCCATTTGTCCGAGAATCTTGACCTCATGACAGAGAGGTCAAGCGAAAAGGGATGTTTTTGACTTGATGCATCTCTTCTTTTCTGTGCATTGTAATGTTATTCCTGTGATGAAAACTTCATATCTACATCTGCTACCTGTTGAATTAGAAGTTCTTTATCTACATCTGATACATCTGCTTGCACAGTACCATAGATTACACCTCTTAGATGTGCTTTTAAATTCTGGAGGTTGATCTGCTTCCATAGTTTATTCATGAAACTAAGACTGTTTACTCTGTGTGTGTGTGTGTGTGTGTGTTTTTAATATCAGCTCTTCTGTTACTTGCTTTACTTGAGTTTTCTCCTTCTCTTTACTTACATTTATGCATTATTTCTGTATACCTTGATGCTGCAGAAAATTAGTAACCATATTTATTTGAATATAAATGATCTAACTAATCTTCCTACCTCTATTTTTCTGTTACTCCCAGAAATTCTTGGTAGTTTAAGGAGTTGTGATACAACTATCATGTTGTTATTGCTTTTGGTCTCCAGCTCTTTACTCGGTACAAACTTTTACGGTTTTACTGGTTTTGTAATTAGTGATATGACAAAAATGGACAAGTAATCCCAGCAACCCCCCTAAACACAGAAAGATTTATCTAATCAATCTATGAATTTTGAGTTCAAGGTATGATGTTTTGGCAGAGCAGCAATGAAAATCCTTTTACCATGACCAAGTTAAAAGTTAGTAAAGATTTTTTTTTTTTCTACAATCGAAAGCCTGCATGTCCTATTCTCTTATTCTATTATATTTTCTTTTTTATTGCAGAGGAGTTATCCCTAAGCATCTCTGTTTCAAATTCACAAGTCCAAGAGAATGTGGTGAGTCATATGCATCTTATAGCAATGTTTATTTATCTGAGTATTCTAAAGTAATTTATCAATTTATGAATCTCTTTCAAGGAGAAAGCAACACCAGGATATACTGTAGCTAAAGAATTCTTTGTTATATACTTAACTGGAAGTTGTCTCCTCACTCAGCAAGCTGCTAGTTTGTATGAGTGCATGTCCTTGCATACAGAGCAGCTAAATGGAACTTCTTCAGAAAAAGTTCATTATTTTTTTTCCACTCTTTGGGGTAATGCTGGCACCCTTTACCTGCTTTGATTAACGAACGATTTAAGTACAGCTTAGCCAGTACTAACTAATAAGCTCATGAGCAATTTGATTACTCCTGAAATTTCTTTTTTTTTAATTTTTTTTTTCCTCCATGCATTAGGACATCAGCTCTGTGTACCAGATATTTGCTGATGAAGTGCTGGGTTCTGGTCAGTTTGGCATTGTATATGGAGGTAAATTATAGTAGATTCCATTATGTGTTTAGTTGAGGTGGAGTGTCTGTTTGTTTGGTATAATTACCATTTTCATAATTGTTTAGCTGAATCTGGAGTATGTAGGTAAAATTTATTGTGCTAAAAATTTTGTTCAAATTACTCTGATTTAGTCTCTTTGCATTATTTTGTTACCAGTATTTCTTACAATTCAGTTTATATGTTCAATGTTATGCTTTGTCATCAAAAACAGTTTAGAGTGTACATCGTATTTTGACTACAGTTAAGTGCAAAGCAATCTCTAATTTTAATTCAGACCGTGGTTAGTGGTTTGGGTTTTCCTATTGCAAATTCTAATTCTGTTATCGATATCATACGCTATAAGAAGTCATTTATTTGAAGAAGCTGTAATTGTACTTTTTTTTTTTTTTTTTAAAACTGATATCTGAGAGATGTGGCTGAAAGCAATTAGATGAATACAATTTTTTGGTAGTTTGTGCTTTGACACAAACAAGAGTTTGTTTTATGCAAACCACAGTTTCACTACAAATTTGTGCCAGCAGGATAAAGCAGAAAGAATTATTTGTAAGAGGTCTCAGTTTCAGGTTTCAGATGTAGCTTTATCACCTCTTTATATAAAAGCTTGTATTAAAACTTACAACTGCTTTATAATATGAAATGATGAACAAAAGAAATACTAGAAATGTAACATCTAAGCTCTGTTGGTCTCCTTTTTATCCCACGTATTCTATCCCAAATGTAGAGAAAGCACAGACCGTAAAGCTGGAAAGGAAGAAAAAATAATAACTAATTATTTAAAAATGGGAACCTTTCTACTTCTGTCATGCTGTCTTTCTAGTCAGAAAACATGTTGATTGTGCAGTTAAATACTTTATTATTTCAGAAGTTTTTGATCATCTGGTTTACATCGCTCTTGAGAAGTCTTAAATTCATGCTAGTCAAGCTGTGGCGGGGTGCTGTGATTTCCAGTGTTTTTCCTGAAAATTGCTGGTTTGTTACAGATACAGAATGACAAAAGTCCCCCGATCAGTCTGTCTTTCAAGACTTTTAGCTTTTTGTTGTTTCTTGTAACAGTCCGTTGTATAGTGTAATATCTTTCTTAAGACTAGTGTAATTTTAACTATTTTTTGCTCTTCAGTCCTTAAGTCTGTTTGGCAGCCTTGTTATACCCTTTTGGAACTTGAGTCGTATCTCTGTTAAATCTGCCATATTTTGTCAGTGAAGATAAACCTGGTTTTGTCCCTTTATCTGTAATGATCTTTAAGGCAGGTACGTTAGTTGCTCTGTGGAGCAGCCTTCGGGAGCAATTCCCATGCCCCGCCTAAGCCCTGGCCGCCAGTGCTGACCGCAGAGCAGCAGGTGAGGCCTGGCTGGGTCGGTGGTGAGAGTAGCTGGGCTCCCCGTAGCTCGGCCTAGTTGCGACTGTAGAATCCCCCATGCTGCTTGCGCTGTAGCCATGTGTGTGATCCGTCTTCCTAAAATAGCTTCCAAGCTTGTCACTGAACAGATAATTGCTGTCTCTTCTTTGCTACAGACTCATTTGTTTTAGATTAGGTTAATATTAAATATCTTAGGTTGTCAGGGTCTTCCAGTATGTGAGCCCAATAATCTTGCTGATTTGAACGTGAAATAAAACAGTTTAGCAGTTGTGGGGAACGTGGGTAGTTGCAGCTAGTCATGTAGCCCTTCAAACATCCTTAGTGTATTGCAGAATGTTTCTCAATCAGCTGATGCAGGTTGCAGCAAGAAGTATTTGCCGTAATGGACACTTTTTCCTTACCACAGTCTTTTAGAGCTTTCTGATAACAGTAGCCTCGCTTCTGGGAGTTAACCTTTTCCTCTTTGTGGTGTGTATTAGATGTTACCTCCTGTGCTCGTGCAGCACATGAAGGCATTTGCTGAAATAACTGGGGAGGACTTTGTAGGGTTTTTTTTTTTTCCCACGTTTGTCTTGAACTTTTTTTACATTAGAGACAGGGTTCTGTAGGCTTAGGTGGCACTTGCTAATTTGCGAGTCCCTTGTGCAAGGGAAACTTCACCTAAGATACATAAGGTTGGTGTACTGCCTGACATCAGAGTGGTAACCAATTTAAATTTATCTACAACCTTCCTGTTCAGGCTAATCACTTCTTGTTACTCATGTACCAGTTGCAAATTTAAATATAAATACTGATATATTCTACACTTGTACAAAATATACCTATCTCCCCCCAAAGAAGTTTCTGCTGTAATGTTTTATAGCTATGAATTGCTTCTACTTTCTGAACTCTGACATTGACTTTCTTAGGAAAACATAGGAAGACTGGAAGGGATGTGGCTATTAAAGTCATCGACAAGATGAGGTTTCCAACTAAACAGGAAAGTCAGCTACGTAATGAAGTGGCCATTCTCCAGGTATAAAAGTATTTCTAGATCACATTGGACTTTCTCAAATAAGTCATTAATAAGATTATTTGTAATGTGTGTAAGCCCTCTAAATTGATTTCTAAATCTGTGTGTGTGACTTCTGAATATTTCTGTAAGAGGGAATCTTACAAGTGTGGAAATTTCTGAGTGTTTGGTAAATACTACCACCAGGTTATCTACTACCTGTGGGGATCCACATAGCTGCGTGATATCTCTGTCAGGTAGCAGAAAAATGTGTATGACTTTTGGCTGTCTTATCACTACTGGTCCATTGACTGATGAATGTTATTCTTGTGTGTTCTGTACTCAAGCTACTAAGTGTATTAACTGCAAAATCACTTTGCATAATTTGTATCAAACAAATTAGTCTTGATGATATTTGGCATGTTTCACGGGTTCAGGCATGTATGTTTCAAGCTAGCTTTTTGCCGCGGGCATTTTATTTTTCATCTCTAACTCTCCATTTAAGTGCTTTTTGATTTGTGTTCAACATATCTGTATAATTCAGAGAATTGCATGCTGTTTACTGATGTACCTATACTACTTTATTTTAGAATTTGCACCACCCTGGGATTGTGAACCTGGAATGTATGTTTGAGACCCCAGAACGAGTCTTCGTTGTGATGGAGAAGCTGCATGGCGATATGCTAGAGATGATTCTTTCCAGTGAGAAAAGTCGGCTGCCAGAACGTATAACTAAGTTCATGGTCACTCAGGTTGGCATTCAGTCCTTGTTTCTTCAGAGGATAGGCTAGGTGTGTCTTCCTTGGTTATGTGGGAGTGGAGTTCAGAGAAGGGGCCTTCTGTATTGTTATTTTAAAGAATCGGCACAGGTGCTACGTAGCTAATGGAATTTGAATAAATATGGAAAAAAATTGCATATTAATTTTCTGCCCTTTCCTAAGATGTAAAGTTATGGACATCTGAAGATGCTTGTCAAAAAGCTTAGCGTTCAGAAAGACCTAATATATGGTCTTTGGGTTAAAAAGGACCATAAAAGCTGCCCCTTCCAAGACTTGAAACACTGGCAAAAATAGTATTTGCACTGTATAAATGGGTTAACACTTGAAGATGACTGTGCAGATACAAGTTACTGTACTGCTTAGTGTGTGTGTGGCTTTTGATACAGAAAATGTTTTCAGTCAGTTGAATGGTTTTGAAAATATTCTTTCTTTTTTCTAGATACTTGTTGCTTTGAGGAATTTACATTTCAAGAATATTGTGCACTGTGATTTAAAACCGGAAAATGTACTACTAGCATCAGCAGAGCCATTCCCTCAAGTGAGTGAAGATTAAAAAAAAAATGTCTTCTTTCATCACTTTTCATCGTTCTTTGTTAAAGTAGTATAGGCACTGCAGCTTAAAAAGTAATCTGTCATGGGATAGTTAACTGACTTAATATAGAGTTGCTTGAAGTACACGTATTGCGTTTTCTTCTTATTATTATTTTTATCCCAATCTTTGGCCTAGTAGGTTGTTCCTTAACCGTCTATGTCAGGTTTTTCCCTTCAGACGTGGGTGCTGTCTCACAACAATGTTGTACAACAGCGTTTTCTTCCAAGGAAAATTAGAAGTACAACTTCTGCCGGCACTCGGCAAGGCTGCAGAGGCTGCCTCTATATTTATGCTTGTGAATAGTGCATGGAAGGTGATATTCTGGATTAGTCAGGCCATCAGATGTAATTTTCTAGAGTGGTCTTCTGTGTTAACACCAAAAATAGGTCACTAATAGAGACAGCATAGTCCAGAGGAAAAGGCACTGGACTAGAGGTTTCGAAACCAATCCTCATTTCTTCTCCTGTGCTGTTTGACTTTAGGAAATAACTTCTTCCCTGTTGTGCATCTCCTTCTTCTGGCTGTTGTCTGTCACAAGAGCTTGCTTATAAGCCCTTTTGAAAAGGGCTGGCTCACTTATCTTGGTTGGGGTTCTTCATTATCAATATGTGTGATATTACATTGTAATATAAACTAAGTAGTATTATTGGTCTGAGAGAAATTAGCTGTTTAGCAATATTAATATTTATGTACTGCCCACACTTACCCCAGTCAGCTATACCATAGATTTATCAGGTAAGATGGATTTTTATGGACGATGTGCAGAAACGAACAGCTACTAGGCTACGTCAGGGAATTACTTCAGGTTCTATGACGTTAATGTTATGTGGAGTGGATTTGGGAGAGCCACTTAATATGTTTAGTGCACTGCTCTTTTTTTATACCCTGGGAGGGCTTGTTAACTTGGGTTAAGTGTTGGGACTTGATGGGAACCTTTTATCTGTGCAAGCGTCTGCTGTGTTCAAGATAAGCTTTCCCAGAAACGTGAAGATTTGAGCATCAGTGCAGGCACCAACTGTTAATACCTTTTTTGTCTGGATAATTCTGGGATTGTTCTGCCGAGGGTTAGCCAGGTCTGAGCTTTAGCAAAAATTCAGTCTGTGATTTCTGTATAGCTTTCCTCGCACCTCTGGTTTCAGGAATATGGGTAAGAGTGTGTGAGCTGGCTGGAATTCATGCACCTCTTTCACTTGGGTTCTGAGCTGTGCGAAGATGCTGGTCCGCCTCTGAAAATGAGCTGGGTCCGGAGCTGAGTTTGCTTATTTGCTCGGTTGTGGCCATGTGCACAAACTGCCTCAGACCTGAGTCTGCACAAGGCCAGTTCACATCTCCTTCTGAAGCATAGTTGATTCACAGTCTGCTTAAACTGCAACTTAAAACCTTAACTAACCGGCTTATGTCATGCTTTGTCCCAGTTCATTTAGTGCATACCAGAATTAACTAATAGCAGAAACAGTATCTAGTACTACCCTGGTCTTGGGTAGTAGTGTACTTGGGAGATCAAACAAAGATTTCTCAGTTTCAAATATGCTTCTGTTGCAGGTGAAGCTCTGTGATTTTGGCTTTGCACGTATCATTGGTGAAAAGTCTTTCAGGCGCTCTGTGGTGGGGACACCTGCTTATCTTGCCCCTGAAGTGCTCAGGAGTAAAGGTTACAACCGCTCTCTAGACATGTGGTCAGTAGGAGTTATTGTCTATGTGAGCCTTAGTGGTACATTCCCATTTAACGAAGATGAGGATATAAATGATCAGATTCAAAATGCAGCATTTATGTACCCACCAAATCCCTGGAAGGAAATATCTAGTGAAGGTAAAGAAACAAATTTCTCTCTTAGAATGTCTTTATCTGTGTATTTAAACCACAAGTTAGACTCAGACACGAGTGTGAAAATTATTGATAGTTTGATTATAGTAGACTATGCCAAAACGGATAAATATGAGCTGGCATGCATTTGTGAAACACGAATTGGCAGTTGTGGTGTTTTGGATCATTTTCAGGGGAGGGGGAGTCAATAGATTTAGTAAGAAAAGTTGGTGAAATGACTCCATTTACCCCAGTCTCTATGCATGCAGTTATTTTTCTGATGTGATTTAAAAAGTTGGCTTAGTTCACTCCTCCAGAAATCCCAATGGAAAGTTAAATCTTGCATGAATATTTGGTGAACATTGATCTTTTAAAAGGTATTTGGTTTAAACTTCGATATAGCTACAGAAGTGGATTTAGAATTGGATCGAGAGTTTTGTTTTGTACATTACGTGAGGCTAAACCTCAGTGTCAGATCTGAATGTCCTGAAAGTGTATGAGGTTATTCTCTAGCACTCTGTAATACCACCTTCTTTATTAGTAATGTATATATGATTAACACACAAATATATGTGGAAGAACATACACAAAGTATATAGTGAAAGCACCTGCGTCATTTTGGAACATAGAATTATGCTCAAGTTGTTTAGACGCTTTTGAGAATAACTAAAATCGGTAGGGGAAAAAAGTTAACACATAGTAAAACTCTCATTGTTTCCATTTAAGAAACAGAAAAATAACTTCATACCTTTTTCTAGCCTTATTTAACATGAGTAAAACTAAATATAAAATTCAAGAGCTTGATTCAGAATAGAGTTCAGTAGGGGACACAATACACACACACATGGCTTTCACTGCTGTGTATGAGTGATGATAGAGGTGATTGGTATGTAAACAGTGTAATTTATTTGTTCTGTTCCTTTGTCAGCCATTGATTTAATAAACAATTTGCTTCAAGTGAAGATGAGAAAACGTTTCAGTGTTGACAAGTCTCTTAGTCACCCATGGTTACAGGTAAAACCGTCTGCCTTTTTCATTACGTTTATAAATTGCGTGTTCTGTATTGAGTGAGTAAAGATTTTTGGATTAAATCCTTCAGAGGCTTACAAAAACTGTTACTGTTTGTTAACAAACATCTGAGGAGGTTTGAGTATTGCTTTTTGACACTTCAAGTTAATATTTCATGCGTTCTGTGATTCTGCCCCTCTCTTAATGGCTTCTTTACTCGGTGAAATTTTGTACTCCCTCACTGTTTCCTTTCTCATTTCCTGCCTGACACTGCCATAAAGTTTTTACCGTGCTGGCACCTGTCTTTCCTAAACGCTAGCAGTGATGAGTGCATGGAGCTCCACTGAAATGCAGTATAGAGACAAACATTGTTCAGTGCTCAAGTAGACACACTTGAGGGTGTGCAATAACTTGTCGTCATTTTAGAATGTGGTTTGAAATTGAATTTATGTGCTTGTTTGACTCAGGTTCCCTTCACAGTAGTTTCACAATACTCTGTGTGTGTGTGTGTGTATATATGCGCATGCACACAAATAAATTAGATATTTAGGGGAAAATCCAATTTGAGTACAAACATTATCAGAAAGAGTATTATTTGATGTATGTATACATAAATTTAATTTTGTAGTATAGCTTAGATTTCTGTCTTGAGTTACAGAAAAGTTTTCATAAATTATAGTATCATTGCCTTAGACGCTAGCCTGTCTCATTTTGAACCGTTCTGTGTGGACATACTCTTGATTTTGTAATCTGTCCTGTTGATTGTATTTCCTAGTTACTTATATTAAAGAGATGTATTGCTGAATTTCTCTTTGGGAATGTTGTTGTGGTGCTGTTTATTAAAGCGCTACTTTAAATCTTGTTTACTCCTTAGGATTATCAGACTTGGCTTGACCTCAGAGAATTTGAAACGCGCATTGGGGAGCGTTACATTACCCATGAGAGTGATGATGCACGCTGGAAAGAACATGCTTACGAACACAACCTTGAGTACCCCCAGCATTTTATTATGGCTCCTAATCCAGATGACATGGAAGAAGACCCTTGATTTATTCATTATGCTAAATTGCAGCAAAGAAGGGCACTCCAGACAAACTGAAGACTTAAGTTTTGGAACAACTGTTGCTCTTTTTGAGTGCTGTTCACATAATTCAGTAGACAAAACTACAGAGGATACTGCATTGGCATGGGGATAGACTGTCATCTGGCAAGCTCTTCTCCATCTCTGACTTAAACTATGAATAGTTATTGGACAGTGGGATAAGCCCTATTGGATAACATTTCACCGAGCTGCATGGCTACAAAGCCATCACTGAGGTGTAGTGTGTACAGACTGAATGCTTTGTGTGAGGTTTTTCAAGTTTTTTGGTTTTTGGTTTTTTTGTAGTCTATGCAATAAGAATTTTGTAATGGTTTCCTAATCCCTATTTACTAGGCCATAGAGAGTTGTTTTCTGTTGTTTAGATACATCTCCTGTTTACTAGACTGTGCATTGTGGAAAGAGATTGTAAAAGGAAATTAGTGCAGGATACCTTGACTAATAGCAAAGCATGTGGCTTAGGACTGAATACGGTTCCACAGCTGAAGGAATAATTTGCTGCTGTTGAGAGGGTTAAATGTGTCTGTCTTTGCTCTAACTGAACTTTTTTCCAGATACCTGAAAAAAGAAAACCCCACAACTTCTTACATTCCTCTTGAAATGCTGGCTGACAATCTAAAGGGATGACAATCAAAGCTGTGCTAGTCCTTTATTTTGTCTGTCTGAAAACAGAGCAATAAGCCACAATACAATGTGTTGCTGTGCAAGGCTGGCACATATATAAACCAAAGGCATTTTGCCTTAAAACTGCCTGAGTAATGCAAAGAGAGCACACAAGACTTGATGTAGCACATTCTTCCAGTCTGGAATAACTGTTGCTAGTAGAAGGATGTGGAAAAAAAAAAAATAGGGGAAAATACGTGCAGCTTTCTCTTGTTGTTTTGAATAATTAACTCTTAAAATTTTTCTATTTTTTTTAAGGTTCCCTGGACTTATATCAGGAATAGTTTGTATCCTGCTAGCTTCCATCTTTGCTCCTAAGTTTGAGCAGAGTAACGGTGGCTACTGAATCACCAGTTGCACCAGGGCAGCTGGACTGTAGGAGAAAGGGCCTTTGCCTTCCAACCTTAATCTGCAGCCCCTCCTGCCCTCTTTTCTGTGCTCAGGATTGTTGTTTATGAGCTGAATGAAGAGTCCAAAACCAACTCATAATTCAGGTTTTTTGCAGACACCTCACTTGATATATTCTCAACCACTTATTGGAGTTGGGGCACAATAGAGTAGGAGCAGCAGTTTCCTTTGGAAATGATTCTCTCAGAGGATAGCCTATCAGTTAAAAGTATGTGATATTTCAAGTTTGAGGCCTTCTATGCTAAATGCAGATGGAAATAAAAGGAAGATTTCCCCCCCCCCCCCCTTAGTTAAAAAAATGGAAAAAGTGAAGTCTTTCCTTTTTTGTGGGGTAACAGCTTTGTGCTGCTGGGAGATGCTGGATGACTGTACATATCCCTGATGTGGTGCCAAGATGCTTAACTGGAGCTTGGCTCAAAATACTTTTTTTTGTACTGATACAGGCTTGAGCTGCAAAGGCAGGTGGGAGCCTTTGAGGTATAGCTCCTCTCTCCTACAAATTTTTTTTTTTTTAAACTGTTGTTCAGGTAAGGAAGTAGTTGAGCAGACTGTTTCTAAGCTGTTAGATATTCATAAAGTTGTACAAGGTTGTTTCAAGGCTTCAGTTGCACAGTGAACTGGCAGTAAACTCAGTGGGAGCTGCAGAGGCATGTACCTAAGGCCCCTGTCTGGGCCTTTAACCTACCTTTTCCTTTCCTGTTGCCTTTAATCTAACTGCTGCTGCGTTTTGTCTCCCCTAAAATTTTTTTTTTTTTAAACTGTTGTTCAGGTAAGGAAGTAGTTGAGCAGACTGTTTCTAAGCTGTTAGATATTCATAAAGTTGTACAAGGTTGTTTCAAGGCTTCAGTTGCACAGTGAACTGGCAGTAAAATCAGTGGGAGCTGCAGAGGCATGTACCTAAGGCCCCTGTCTGGGCCTTTAACCTACCTTTTCCTTTCCTGTTGCCTTTAATCTAACTGCTGCTGCGTTTTGTAGGTATCTAAGTTGTTAAAAGTCGAACATGCAGCGTTAGAATCTGCACAAAACTTTCAGTGCAATCTGTATGGCAGTTTTCTATAGCCACTAGTGGGCAGAGCATTTCAGCCCTTCCTACTTCCCTGCGTCCTCTCTCCTAGCACACTTTTTTTCTCAGGTTTGTGCAGGGGACTTGCCTGATGGCAGTCCATGCCACTCCTGCACTGGGGGTCATTCTCTCCCTTTTATGCTGTCAAAAACGGTGTAAAGGAATTCAAAAGGGGCAGAATTTGTCCCTTAACCTTGCCATCCTGGTAAGGCAAGGTTTTAGGATTGATTCTTCTCTGAGAGAGGCACTGTTTTTTTAACTTTAGAACCAGAGTGATCACCTCTGAAGTTGGTGGGCTAGTTAGTTTTTCACCCAGGTCTGGTAAGGGAAGCAGCACTTTTTTTTTTTTTTCTAACTTCCACCAATCAAGTGACCAAATTTCAGTGAAGCCATTGCTATCTTCCATCCCAGCTGTAATAATGTAGATATGTTCTGCTTTTAAACTTAAGATTTTTTTACTGGAGCTGTCATTTCAGGTTTTCCTGCTTTTCTTTAAGGGAAAAAAAAAAAGCTCAGTTTGAAAAACACAACAGGGATAGGAGAGGGGAAAGACAGGGACAACAGTGAAATAAAAGGCCTGGCGGGAGTCTGTCCCCCTGAAGTCTGCTCCGCTCCAGAAAATTAAACAATGAGCTATTTATTGTTCTCAAGTTTTATTTAAAAATAAAAAATAAAAAAATAAAAAAAGCTTTTGGAGTAGATTGCCTGACAGTACATGCAGACTTACAGGGCCAGATGATAGAATCCACAAGCTAATAGTTGCGGAACCAAAAAATCAGATATCTATTAGAAATAAACTTACTTCATTGAGTAGTAAGAATAGCTGACTTCTTTATTCCCTTTTTTTCTACCTTTACTGCAAACTTTGACAGCAGTAGGATACATTGTTTGATATCCTTACCCCTAGCTGAATTAAGTTGCATTCATTCAAGAAATAGTGCTACGATGATGCTAGAAAAAGCTCATGTAAAATTTATAGCCTCAAAAGGACACTGTCAAGTACTTTTATATTTTTATACAGCCCTGTGTTTGTAAATATCCTCTGATAAGCTTGAAAATAAAATTTATTTCCCTATCAGACTTGTCCTTTATCTGCATGGATTCTCTCCCACTTCAGATGTTCCTAGACATTTTTTTCTCAGTCCTTCCTTGTTTGTGCATGTCACTAGTATGCAATCAGCTGTGGGAATTCTGTTAGCAGGTGCTTTGTAACTATTTTTTTCTTTTAAACCTAGTTACCCATACCCTTCATGAAAATATCTTCAAGGGTAGCGATGAATAGTGTGTTTTGTACAAGTACCACAGCTGAGTAACATTTAAAGCATCTTAGCACGTACAGGAAGAACTGTTTTAACTTGATTCTACTGGTGGATACTTCTCTCAGGTCTAGCAAGACCTCCAAAACTGGTTGTTCATTCTCTGTTCTGCACCCACTTGTTTCTGTAGGTGCAGTTTTTACTGTCTACACACTGGTTTGAGTAGGTCCATAAATAGGTTTGGTCTGTTGCACCAGCTTTACTCTGATTTAGCTCTCCACAAAAGCGTGCCTTGGCCCTAAAGTGTGGATTGTCTTGAGAAAGAGTGGAACATCTCATGCGCTTTCACTTCAAAGACAGCTCATAAACTGTGAAACACCTTACTACATATCAGCTATTTGCTGAGTACATTATTGCAAAACATGTCGTATATGAAACCATGAAGCACACAGGATTTGATTGAGTTTCCTTTGCTTATTTTAATAAGTTGCTACTGAAAGCTTCCGCTACTAGACATGTTGGTATAGTACTTGAACTTACTTCAGTAAGAGTTCACCAAATCCAGCAACAGGGACTAGGGGAGCTCTTGATTGGGGATTATGTTTGTTGTCAGGCTGTATAAATCTGTGATGAGGCAGCAGGGCAAAAAAATTAAAACAATCCCCCATTTTCTTGGGATTCATCAACATGTCATAGCTGTGAAGTAACTGCTCCTGTGTTACTGTGTCCTGTGAATTCTGCAAGAGCACCTAAAAAGAAAACAGAATGCAAGTTAAGTTGTAGCCTTCCTTGCTTTTATAAGTTCTCTCACACCTGCAATCTTATTGCATCCTTTTTATTTACACCTAAAGCACTTTATCTTCTAACTCGATGCCCAGTAGAACTGCTGAGGTCTCTGCTGGACCTGATACATCACTGCATTCCATGCAAAAATTTGCAACATACTCTTGACTACATACAAATCAGTTTACTTTGAGAGATCCAGAGTAACTAATGCCTAAGAGAAGCAAACACTTTGCTACTGCAGACGTATGTGGTATTTTGAACAAGTTTGTATAAAGTCAGCTCTTAAATGAGGCTCTCTTGCTGCTTCTGAGTATCACTTGTGGATTAGAAGTGTTTTTGTACCTGTAAACACTATCGTTACCTGCAGCCGGAGGTCAATGCCCATGTTTTTTAAAAATTCCCGTTGTTTTATGGGGCCTAATGTGGCTGTTCTTCCCTGTGTCATCTTCCGAAGATAGCTGAAATCAACATCTGCTGTCAGGTCTGCTGTACCTGGAGCTTTCAGCACATCATGAAGTTTGTGATTCTGGAAACCCTGAAAAATTAAATTGGAAGATGGCACTCTGCTGTACGTGGCTACCACAGCTGGGTCTAGCAAAGACTAAGTTGGAGGTGAGGGGGTAGTCAGGTGTAATAGCAAATTACACTTTGAAAGTTTGAGATAAATGCAGAAAGGTCTCAGATCAATCAGTAATTCTGTCAGATAGGAAAATTAAATGAGAACTCAATTATTCAGAGTCTTATGGCTGCAACATAATACAGTTTTTACTATTATGTCCACTTAAGACCTTTCTCCTGCAGGAACTTTTTTTTTTGTATTATTAGACTAACGATGAAAGCAAAAGTTAGAAGATGAAAGTGCTTTAGGTGTACATCTTACCCTGAAAGTGTCAGTTTTGGTTCCATCATGACCGTAATCAGCAATCAGAGCAGCCCCACCATCTTTTTCTAGACGACTGGCAAGTCTTTGAATGAGGACACCAGCCTCAGGACATACTTCCACGTGATCTCTTGTTTCTTCAGGCTGGTGCAGAATTCAAAAATCAAAATACCGGTATGAGCAAGCAAGTTTGGGGCAGGAGTTCTTTTTACTTACTTGATGTCTTGGGCACGCTGTCACTTTATTTGGGTACCCAGCAGAGCATTCTAGGCTACCTACAGATATAGTTTTCGCTAATAGTTATTTTCCACTCGTGTTTTCTAACTGAGTCCTGATTCCCTTCATCTCTTGTACAACCTAGAGCTGACTGAAATGAAAAGACTGTTTTGTAAGGAGTGAGAATACCTGCCTCAGCCAGGAACTGCCTTACTGCAGTACTAAAACTTAAGAATGAAAATAGCGCTTCAAAAGTTCCTGTTCCCCCTGCCCAAAAGGCCTTTCTGTGTGAAACTCTTGAAAGTTGGTTTTAATCCCTACTGCTTCATTTTGTAACTTTAAAATCCAGTAAGCTCTGGAAAAAAATGTCCATTTTAGACGCTTTAGACACCTAGCCCAACTTAGAATGCATTCATGGAAGATTGAGGACCACTGTCAAGATGGTGATCTCATGATGATAAGATGTAGAACGGCCCCTGTCACTTTCTATAAATCACTGTCACTTGCTGCCTCAGTTTACTGTCTAAAGTGTTTTGTCTGTTTAAGCCCTGATTTTGCAAATTTTGATGTACCTGCTTATTTTTGTGCTATGTTCACAAGATTAAATGCTAGCGGAAGTTGCTGTACAACAGAAACCATAAATTGTATTTGCTCACTAATAACTTTTGAAAGCCCTCCCTCCACTCCCTTCCTGATGCAATAAATGCACCTGCAAGACTCAGTAACGATCTAAGTATTAACTTTGGTAGTTACGACCTTACCTGAATAAAGTTTTCCGTTGCAGGGGTGCTGGACGGTGCCAGGACAAACCGCAACTGGTCAGGAACTTCCGGATCTATATCAACCAACACTTCACGCCAGCCTTTTTGTGTTCTCTGTTTAATGAACCCAGAGTACTGGTTTTATGTTCTAACGGGGACAAACTATCTTGTTTATTCGATTCAACTAATGTGTCGAGCAGACTAGAACATTTCCACAGAAGTTTTAAGGACGTAATATGCCATTTACAACAATTATCCATTCCTATTTAATTCCAGTAACTGCCTTTGTAAAAGCTTGTGCTAGAGCCTGGCCTATAGAGTCAACATAAACAGATTTAATTATACTTAAAAGGAATAAATGATACTACACAGAAAATGCTGCCTCTTCGACTGACAGTGCAGTATTTAACTGCCTCAGCCTAGTGCAGTATTTAACTTACTAGAAGAAATTATTCCTGGTTCTAGCAATGATTTTGATGAACTAATTATCAAATTGAAGTCGAAAGTGTTTCTTCTAAAGCCTAACTAGCTTTTGTTTTGCTACTGCCATTGTTTTGCTATACCATTTAAAAGAAAGACGTTCAGAGCTCAGATTACTAGTTGTTACTAGTGATACATCAGCTGAATTAAGCCTTATTTTGTCCATGTTCTACCGCCATAGTCAATGGACGTGTCTGATTTGGCAGCACAATTCTCTTCCTTAAAGAGACAAGGCCTTTAACTAGAAGCTCACATTCACAATTATCTTCTTGCTATACCTGAAACTTATGTATGGGCAGGGCATCAAAAAACTCATGCGCTAAATAAAAGCTGTAACCTGTGGAAAGGGAAAAAAGAATAAATTATTTGTTGCAACATAGTGCTTTCACAGCAGCTTCCAGTTGAAGCAAAAATTGTTTTCTAATGAATTTTAATTAAGCTAGTTAGTGTCACTGTGAAATAATCATCATTATTCCCAGCTTGAAAACATCAAAGACAACATTTCCACAACCAGCTGCTCATGCATGGTTTTTCGGATTTGTGCACTCCCGTACTAATGTGAAGGCAATGAAGCCAGTAAATGGTTACCCATGCAAAGAACAGTTGAAGTATATGAAATTGGGTTACTATCCCAAAGTGAAGACCGTCAGAACTGGTAGCCATTATATGAATCTGAGTCAAGATCCTGTCTCAGGCTCACACAAGAAGGTGGAGTTAATATGTATGTTAATTATCTTTCTAGCTATTTATAAGGGCTAGCAAAGATGTCCTCAGTTGTCAAAAACAGCAAAAGGAAGAAAGAAGCCATCACTGTAATAACAACTTCAAGTTCCTTACCTTGTGGTACATCTTGAATGTCTCTGTACCAGAAAATTGGAATTCCAGTCTTACTAATGCCTTTCATGTAAGCAGATTTGTCCTCAGGGTTTGACTGCAGCTGCCCTCCTGTCAGCATCAGAGCTTGGATCTCACTGAGTTTGGGACTCACTTCTACCAGATGAACAGAAACATCACATTTACTAAGTAAAGAGGCAAGCTGGTTGAAGACCTATAAATGCAGATGAATTCCATTAGGTACAGTCATGTGTTGGATACACTAAAGGGTTAAGAATCAAAATAGGGAAGTTGTCCCCCTTACTTATATTCAAGATTAGAAATTTAGTTGGCTTTCACTTAGCAAGATCATCAATGAAAGAGACTGCCTTTTGCTCCTCCAGAAGAAACCAGGAATTCCTAATTCAATTTTAATAAAAGTTGCTAAGCTGCTTCTAAACAAACTGGCAAACTAGACTACACATTATGTAGTAGTAAGGACAGCAACACCACCTGCTCATTTAGAGTGATAATAGGCTTAAAGAAAGTAGCTCCTCTAACGCTAAACTTTCTGCAGGCATTAGGAGAGCAATGGTTTAGTTTTCCCAAACACCCTAAACGAAAGCAGTCAGTATTATATATTTCACTGTGCTTAATACAATCCTTTTTCATTAACATATGTCGAAAGCAGTCAATATTATATATTTCACTGTGCTTAATACAATTCTTTTTCATTAACATATGTAAACAGAGTAAAACTTTTTCTAAGGTGTTAAATTCCATTAGCAATCTGCTTTTGAAATGGTAATATTTTAATTAATATATACCTATGTGAGAGTGATAGAGCAGAAAGGGTTAATTCAGAAGCAACAAGCGTCTGAAATCCCCAAAGGAAACTGGACCAGTTCATTTCTGTACTACTCTCTTCCTCCTTCTGCTCACACTAAGGCCTCCCAATTACATATAGCAGCACTCTCTTAAATGGTTTTCCAATTTGAATAATGCTTTCCTGTAAATAAATAATTTGTAATGGAATATTCCTGCCCTCCCTTTCTATTATGTTTTATTTGGAGGGGGGGCCTGCGTGTGCACACACAAAGCACACGAACACTGGCCCATGTTCTGTTCTCAACTCAGACACCCAGTCTCTTCATCGAAGTACAAGCAACAAGCATATCTTTTAATGAGAATCTAAGCTGTACGTCTACTAAGTTAAATGATTTGGTTACTAGGGAAGGTTTAAACTCTATAGCACAATCCCATTCTTTATGTCAGGTTTCAGTGTCGCTGGGGATTAAAGACAGAAATAGGGAGAACAGTAATTTTTTGTTTTACCTACCCGTAGTATATCATCAGTAAGGGTGCCCCTCCCTGGGCCCAGTTCCACCAGTTGGAACGCCTTAGGCTTGCCAGTGGCTATCCATTCACTAATGTACCATATTCCTATTAACTGACAAAGGAAAATAATGCAAGTAAGAAATAAAACTTTACAATTTGCAGGAAGTGATACCTGCCTTTTCCCTGAAAATAACTAAGATATTATGCAATGGCCTCTCAAAACTTTAATGTAAGATTCTGTGATGAAAAATTAGTACAATTTAGACAACATTGCACCTGCAGTCTTTTAAGTATTACAATCAGTGATTGTTTGCCGTCGACTCAGCAGAAGCAGCTCACTATCCGGTAAATGCGTTGGACTTTTTTCTGTCTAGTGCATCAAAAGGACTTTTAACTAGGACTAAAACAAAGGTCACTACCCAACTACACACATAGCAACTGTTCTTGATAGCAGTACGTTTACCAGCGTGACACCAAGAACAGAGTTCTGCCCATCTTCGCTGTTGGAAATGATGCAAAACCCAAAACGAACCGTGCTGATTTCTAGACTCTGGATAGAGAAGTTACAGAATTTGAATAGAAAAACAGGGGAAGATTATGATTTTTTTTTTTTTACTTATAAACAAATTCTATACAAAAATGGATAGCGCTCAGCACAGACGACGTCCCAAACCGTAGAACAAACGAGCAAGCAAGCAAACTCCTCAGCCTCCCCCAAAGCAAACCACCCCTTTCCTCCCCTCTGCAAGGGACGCTTCCTCCCGGCCCAGAAGCTGCTCGTCCGCGGCTCCCGAGGGCGCCGTTACCTCCCCGAACACCTGGCTGATCTCCGGCGAGGTCACGAAGTCGCCGCTCTCGCCGACGCCGCCGCGGCGGGCGTAGTAGCCCTGCGGGGAAGGACGGGACGGGACGGGAG